TTTAATGCCTTTATTCATCCATCGCAATATTCGTGTACTAAACTCATTATTTTATAAACCTGCGACTTCTATAGACATATCAACAGACAACAATGGACTGGTAATAATACAAGACCTTGCATTTGTGTGACTTCTTCCATGTGTTTTTGTTCTTCATCAGAGAAACCCATAAAACTCAGACAACAACAGAAAAAAGGCATCATTTTATACTGCATCTGAAAACAAGTTGCAATGAATCTTTCAAAGCATGTTATCATTAATAATATGGCTATTCTGCTGTTAGATAATTTGAAATCTTATTAACATTTGCTTTCAAAGGTCTACTTGAACTAAAACGACAAAGCATGATGGGATTTATTGTAGTGGTAAAAACTTATAGTCACTCAGGTAACACAAGTGTAAAAGTATGTATTAATGCCATTTTATTTTTTATATTTATTTGTAGGCATATGAAAATAACAAATCAAAAACCATGCCCTTTTTGTTTCCACAATTTTGATGTAGTCTGTGTAAAGATGAATGCAATTTACTAACCATGTCCTCATCGATAGCAGATCCTGTAGAATCATGTCTTGTACTCCATGCTTGGTGGACCCACTGTTCTGTCATTACTGGTGTACCAAGACTTACTGCTGTCTGTCGGATCAATCACAGATGGGTGTAATCAAGAAGAATAGAACAAAATATTGAGAGTGTGACCAACAATCCTTGAATTTGCTTGGAAGATCCCAGCTGAGGGCAATTATATATAATAGGTGTAATCATTAGCAAAAAGATCCCAAGTGAAGGATTATTAGTTTATGGAGTATTCTTCCTAGACGGTTTGAAGCATCAGAACTGATAACCTTTGACGTCTGGTGGTACTGGTAGACTACTGTCTGGTGTTTAATTGTAATGCAAACTATACCTGAGTATTCACTCTAATCATGTATGTAAATGTGTCGAAATGGGCGTAGTGCGAGTGGCTAGTGCTAGTAGCACTAATCGGAAAAAGTACTAGATCTAGTGCTAAAATGGCACTAGATCTAGCGCTAAAATGGCACTAGATCTAGTGCTAAAATGTGCACAGTGCGAGTGGCATTGTTATCGCATTGTCAACGACGTCGAATAATAAAAGGGGCATCAACAACCACTTTCATATGCAAACTACGAACAGTATAAAACATCGGCAATATGCACGAGATGTCCATAATAATACTTTCTTTATATAAAACCGGATTCTGACGTAAATTCCGCCATCCGAGTGATGGGCGCTTATTTGGGGTTCAAAATTTCAAAAAATAATTATCAAATATTTTGGGGGAAAATTTTCATTGTATCCAACTACACAGACTTACTACGCCGTCAGTTGGGCCACCCAAGACGAAAGAAACTATTGCAGAATTAACAATAATTAATAATTTTTGCTGAATTAAAAAGTAGACCACCTGGAATGTGTTTACAGTGTCGCCCAGTGTCATTTTTCAAATACATTTGTTTTTATTTTATTGGTAACAACAGTATATTTTAAACGACGTTTCTAATAAAAACGAACACAACTGCATTGCGTAGCAGCAGGTGATCACAGATGCTCAATCCGGACATGCAACGTTTCACAAACGTTGATTATTACTCAGTAGTGATTATAATAACGCACAAAAAATAAATTCGTTGATTCAAACAAAATTCAACTTACTTTTACCGTAAGCTAATAGGTCAAATCGCTAATTAACCAATCAAAATGCTGGATGATGCTAACGCGTTCAAATTACAATAGCTCATTTAAATATGTTAATGTTATTGAACGCAACACGGAAGAGATTTGCCGATGTTGTAGTACGCTCTTTTGGCTTGAATTTGATGGGAAAATGGCATGTTTTTTTTTAATTAAAAAAATAGTTGTTTTCAAAGATGAACTTAGCATAAGAAGAATAATTTAACATTGTTTACAGTGATAACAGCTCTTTGTCCAAACGGAGCTTACGCTAGTCACAATCAACACACTCTTGAATAAAAACTTAATAGAGATTTAGGCGTCAGGAACGATTGAAATGTCCGATAAATTACGACAAAATATTTTAAAAAATAAATTTAAAAACTGCCGAAAAATCGCCCTGGACAATTTCTTGGTCCCATTTTTTTAACGCGACCATACACTGGGTTTGTTTAGCTGTGAAGGGTTAAAATACGTATTTCACAACTGGAAATTCAACAGACGAACTTGTTACTTCACATGTTTTAATTATTAGCAACTGTAACAAGAACAATATTTCGAGAGTCTACAACAAAAAATCCTAAGGGCTCCTAAAAAATATTATTGCAGAGAAAGTATCTAGACATATATAATATGGTCACGTTAAAAAATCGAAAAATCGGCAAGGTTACATCATATTCCGTTAGTTCCTCCATGATACAATGTAACAACAGGATTGCGTGAATATGTATATGCCCACTCACAGGTCGCAGTACACACAACATCCACCTGAGGGAGACTTACACTAAGAGTATACCATTTTTAGGGGCCCAAGCCTGTAGGGCATGGCCCCTATTCTTATTGTTCGGTTTTTTCTTCTTCTTTCTTCCGTAACTTTTTTCGTCAAGCCGTTTGAGAAAACCACTGAACCAAATAGTCTGAAAGTGTTCTATACTGATAGTCTCTAATATGAACTGGTGCAGTGCTTTCAGAATTTTGATTGCTCAATTAGTTTGGCAGCCATATTGGATTGAAATAAAACCGGAAGTGGCTGTTTGACCACTTTCTGAGGGTCTAGGCGTCTAGATTTTTTTATGGTATACAGTACAACTCATGTGTAATAAATATCAGCAATAAAAACTTTAGTGGTCACCATGGGGTGGGGGCTTCTAACCTCATTAAAATGCATAACTGTTATAACTCAAGCACTGTTGTTGTTAGGAAGATGAATCCTGTGTTATTATGACAACGTTGAACAAGAGAATTGATTAAAATAACAAATGACCATATATGGTCATGTGAACTCATTAATATGCATAACTGTTATATCTCAGGCACTGTTGCAGGTAGGAAGATGAAACCTGTGCTATTATGATGATGTTAAACAAGAGATTTGAATAAAATAACAGATGACCATATATGGTCATGTGAGCTCATTAATATGCATAACTGTTATATCTCAAGCACTGTTGCAGGTACATGTAGGAAGATGAAACCTATGTTATTATGATGATGTTAAACAAGAGATTTGAATAAAATAACAGATGACCATATATGGTCATGTGGGCTCATTGATATGCATAATCGTTATATCTCATATAAATATATGGTACCAGCTGCATTTCGACTTCATGGTACTAATCATTCAAACTAAACAATTGTGTATCATGTGTATCATTTGACCTCATTATTTATGGCATGTATACTTGGGCCCCTGTGATGCTGCTTGCAGCTTTAATTTTGTTTAGTTCACATATGGCATCATAATTTCATTTTTGAAGATCTATTTTCATTAAGTGTGGCGCCGACCAGAAATAAAACAGCACATCAGCGATTTAAAAAAAATCAACGCTGAATTCCACCATTTACATAAAGTTTCAATCACCAAAGTTGAAAACACAAACTTCCTCACAATACCATTTCATACAGTATATCTATTCACAATTTGTTCGACCTGGAGTTTCACTGTTTCAGCTAGTTTCCCGGCCGATCGCGTTGTTCCAAAGGTCTATTACGACAAACGTGGACAATGACATTCTCAATTTTCCCACTGTAGCACATTTCCAATGAATGAAAGATACAACAATTTTACGTAAATATTAATTTATTTTCAGAGAATTACAGGATGTCTTGACGTCGTTGACAACGCGATATCAATGCCACTCGCACTATGTACATTTTAGCACTAGATCTAGTGCCGTTTTAGCACTAGATCTAGTGCCATTTTAGCACTAGATCTAGTAGTTTTTCGGATTAGTGCTACTAGCACTAACCACTCACACTATGTCCATTTCGACACATTTACATACCTCCTCTAATTACTAATGGTGTATTAGGGTATAATGTAATAAAATTTTACTCACTCGATATTTGTTTCCATTTGTTGTATTTGCAACCAGATGTGTAACTCTTGTACTAAAATCTTTACGAATACTTCCACCCATGTGATGTACTAGATTAACAAGTCGTGTAATCTCTGCTTTGTTTCGGAAACCCGTGAAACAGATTATGAGTTGTGACATTAGAGTACAGTACAGTGGCCTGGTATTATACGGCAGAGGCTGTTGACAACAAAGAACAGTACCAGTATATATTTAAAAATAGAAGATGGCGACAAGATTTTAAAATGCAAATCTCACTGCATGATAATGCATCTGGTGGAGTGTTCTGTTTTTATCAACAATTAGAATGCATAGAGTATTTTATTTTTCAGTTGTACACAATAATGAATATATGCAGAGAGTGATTTTAATAGTCTACTAATTTAAGTGTAATTGAGTGAGTCAATACGAATGTCAATCATCGGTTTACGTGTTAATCCAAACTGTTTGCGACATATTTTCAAAACAGACAATAATGGCGTTCACGTTAAAGGCATGTGCCGACTCAGTCTTGTGTGTGTAAACAATCAGAACTGAACAGGAAAAAAACTGTCTTTTCTTGAAATGCTACATAGACGTGCAAAATAATTGTTTTTCAAATCTTGTTTGCTGTTCATGTGCAGGATGACTGTAATGCCTCTGCAAACACAAGGGATTCAAAATTTCGGCATGTGTCAAAATACCATAACGTGAATGTAGCAAATGCAGTGTACATGTATGTAGCAAATGGTGTATGTAAGATGTAAGATTACACAACCTGTAATATTTGTATGCATAAAGTAAACGATGGGTGGGATATTTATTTATATTTCCCATGATACACTGGTGCAATCACAGGGATTGCAGAACCATGTTTTAATATATTTGTGCCTATTTTTTTTGTAGTTTTTATAACTATTTTTGATAATTTGGGGTTAAATGTAAAGAAATGTTCATAAGTTAGTATGCAAAAATACCAGAAAATACATGTGAGCAGTAATATGTGAATGGATGACCATGACGAAAGTTGACAATGGTGCTCAAAAGGTTCTGGTTGGGATGAACAACGTTGTAAACATGATTTAGCATCAAAGTAACTTACCTCTTTAGAGTTTGCACATTTTAGTATAACAGGAGGACCCATGATTCTATGGTCCATTTTATGCAAGCAGTCATAGTCCCTCCCTTCAAAGTTATTAAAAACAAATACTGTATCATATTTATCAGCAGCATCATCAATATACTCTAAACCATTGGTGGAATATACCACAGTACATTCCAATTCCTATTAAGAAAACATAAATTAAAGCTGCAAGCAGCTTGACAAGGGTCCAAGGAAGAGGCATACTGCCACTGCATGGACCAATTAAATTGACTCAAATGACTATGGTCATGTTGCTTTCTGTTACAATAACTTATAATGTACCAAAATATTCAGATGGAAAGCTATGGAAAGTACAAATAATAAAACAATAATCTTGTGAGATTTATAAAGTACAAATAATAAAACAATAATCTTGTGAGATTTATAAAGTACAAATAATAAAACAATAATCTTGTAAAATTTGCTCTGGGTGAATGATTATGCTAATTTGTCATTCTCCCAACTTTTGGTTTATTAGTTAGGCAGGGAAATTCAGACTTAATAAATAAGTTTAAGAGTTTTGCTTTGTTTCCATTATGTTGATGGCTTGTTTACCTCCAAAAAATGTCTGATAGTGTGTTTTGTTTTTCTGTAATTGTCAAACAGCCTGGGTGCTTGTCAAATAATTTACATTGAACACTACACTACAGAAATACCAGAAACAATCTCAAATCAAATGGACCAAAATTGGAAGAGCTAAAGAACCGAACAAGATAATGCCATTTTAAAATGTTTGATTTCACGCTTAATGCGGGATCTTGCAGTGAACAGAAAGTGGTCTATTAAGCCATACTTGTAATGTACAAAATAAATATGCAGTATATGCGACGTACAATTCACTTGTTATGAATACATATATAACAGCAAGTATCAACGATAAGAAACAAAATAAATTGAAACATCATTTTAGGGTTTTAGGGTTCTAAGTGCTTAAGAATTATTTATGTATGCAATTCTTACTTGAAGTGCCTGATTTAATCCATCATAGTTGGCAGTATCATCACTAACAACACATATTCTTGTCTCCAACGCAGTTTGATTGATGTCTGTCAAGAGAATCAAACAATACATTGTAACAAACAATCAGATGATGTGATGTCTACATAGAGTCTTGCGTTGGATCCAAAAAGTGCATGTGATTGATAGATTAAATAACAACTTACAATAACGGAAATATCAATTTATTATAAAGTATTTGTCGTGTTGCAGGTTGGAAGAAACAAAACTTTTTAACTTTAACAAAACTCAAAACTGTGCATGTCACGGATAAATAAGAGATACACACCATATTAACAGAACATACAACACAGAAATCAACCATAGACAGTTTGATTTTTTTAAGCAAAAACTTGGAATCCATTTTGAACTACAAATATTAAACAGACTTCAAGCTATTCTAACATTGATTTAAAAATGTATAAGGTTTTTATTAACATTTGTAATAAGGAAGGAGGGATCAATTTATCATTCTCCATGTGAAATATATATTTCAAATTTTCAAAGCAGCTGGAAAATGATTAGCTAGGCAATTTCATCGCCTTCTATGGAACCATACAATGTTGCCACATAAAGTAAAAATAACTTTAACATATTTGGAATTCTGAATGTATTTCTGGATATAGATGAAATTGAACCATCCCATGGTGGTGTTTTTTGGAGACAACCAACACAATGAATATCGGTAAGTAATATATTTGCAAATAACATTTGGGTTTATTCACAGAGAAATGTAGACAGGGAAGCACATGATTTGTATTGTAAAAACTATGATTAATTGGCAGATTTTTGTAGTTTATTAAAGTGACTTGTCAAGACTAGATGTCACAT